TGTGTGTGTGTGTGTGTGTGTGTGTGTGTGTGTGTGTGTGTGTGTGTGTGTTTGTGTGTGTGTGTGTGTGTTTGTTAATGTTGAAAAGGTTATCAAACCTCTACTATTTCGCCCAATGTTTTCACAGATTGGTAACAAAGCCTGTGTGCAACAACGTGCGCACCGAGGTGAACTTCTCGATGGTAGGTGACGTCACTCACAGGCCATCTACATAGCTACCTTTGAATTATAAAGTTCTATGTATATTCAGTAAGGTTTTACGGCACTCGCAACTGAATCAGGTCATATGAGCACCAAGGGGTGGATGTCAACAGAGAAGTCTTACAGGGAATCAGGCTTACTCTGCTCACCTCTCTAGCCTCAACAGCACAAAGTCTGCTTTGACAATCAAGGCACCCCGGAAATAGCAGGTCACAAGAGAGTGACAAACATACAAAAGAAGTAGAGGAAAATGACGATAGCAAGAGTGAGGAAAGAAAAAGCAACAGTTCCCCCTTTGTTGTTCCGGCACAGTATGAGCATGACATTGATAGATCAGCCCATTTACAATTCTACTGTACATAAGTACATGTTACTATCCCTCCTTTGGGAATGGCCTAAAGACACTTCAGTCTGTAGCACTGCCCTGGTGGCGGGATAAAGTTCTGTCTGACATTTTTGGCCGTTTTGAGTTATTGTGACAAAGAGGTTAGAAAACAAATATTCTATCTACCCTATCAAAATCGTACGATATTTTGTAGTCATTATCAAGATGTAAAAAAAAAATTGCATCCAAAAAACCTTGACATTTTTGTGATACTAAAAAAATTTGACGTCGAGTTTAACAAAACTGGGTACTGAGTAGATAGACCTTTGAACTTCTGGGATATCGCTACAGCGCCTGGCAGTGGGTGGTTGGCGGGTGCTCTGGTGTAGTTTGCTTCTTCTTTCCTATCAAACATCTATCGTCCTTATCTCCCCTCCTTCTTTTTATGTTTGTTACTCTCTTGTAACACCTCTAATCTTCTGGCGCTCAAATGACCTTATGCAGTTGCGGGCGCCGTAAAAACCTCTACTAAAACTAAACTAAGAGCGCCTGGCATCCCTACTGTCATTGCCACCGAGCTTCGTTCTCTACAAAAACTTGACCGTGAAGGGTGCCAAAGGGGAAGTGTGCGCACCATGAACCGCGTCATTATAACTATAACCAGAACAACAGACAAATCACCAGACTGGTTATATCGTAATAGTCGAGTGCACACGTTATATTCCCCTTTTTTACCCTTCTTGACCCAAATGGTGCGCACCAAAGTGAACCAGAAACACGTCATAGCGCACATCCAGGACTTCCTCATACAAGTCAAAGATCGTTCATAACAAGATAGTTCACTCGGCCAAAAAAGTGTCCGCGGAAGTCCGCGCATTGGTTCAGATGGCGCTGCAGACTTTGTTTTGAAGCTCTACATGGATGGCTGGTGCCTCTATAAATAAATCATTGATGGTCAAGGTTTTAAAGCTCTCTTTCGTTTCTCCAGAAGAAGAATAGAGGAATAGCAGTTTGTTAGTTTCACTTTTATTGTTTTTCACACAAGTAGGAGGGTAGCTCTGATCGCAAAGTCTGCGATTTTTTTTCGAAGAGAACATCACCGGATTTTGAAGATACTTTCTAAATTGCCTCAAAAAGAGGAGTGAACTATCTTGTTATACACGATCTCTGATATAACCAGAACGAAAGACAAAACTCCAGACTGGTTATATCATGTCTAGTGCATAATGAATACGTCATCTTCCCTTTTTTTCTTAATTCCTGAGCCGAATGGCGCGCACCAAAGTGCACCAGAAACACGTCATAGCGCGCGATCTAGGATTTCCTCAAACAAGTACAAGATCTATGGCGGCATGTCAAGTATATAACTGCACCAATGACGGAAGGCTACACTACAGGATGGTTCGCTCCCTTAATAAAAAAATGTCTCCTTGACAGACTACGATCAACGCGCAATCTGAAAACGGCATCTGAAGAGGTGGCTTCCTCGTCCTGTTATCTCAAACCCTAAACTCCCCCCCC